CAGTCAAGTAGCAAAAACGTACATGTTTATTCTTCTACGCTTGATCAATCTGCCATTAATACACGTATAGTCGGACTCCCTTATCACAGCGTCTCTATTGTAGCGGCTTGGGACATTTCTCTTTTTCTGTTGCCGAAATGGTGACTCAAATATGCAAGTGCGTGGAAATTTTTTGTTCAAGTTTGCAATTTCTTTTTACAAATTAATACAGTTTTAAGGTACAATGCAACCTAATGAACAGAGTATATAATTGACACAAAATGATTGATCACACCAGAAACAATTGTAAGTTACAAACATGATGTATTTTGATTTATGGAACCAGAATACAATTCATACGTATACTCCATCAGGTTATTACTTGTGTAAAGGAGTTAATTCTCAAGTTGTTTTTATGAGTATTATTTACTGATAACAGATATAAATGAAAAACAGGTACGTGTACTAACATAATCTGCTTGACGGTTATTTAAAACTTATTGATTTTCTTTCAACTGAAATACTTCATTAAAACGTCAAATCCAGCATGTAAGTCACAGCAAGACACAGACTGCAAATTTGACATCACTAAATTTGACATGACACTAATTTGATATATATCCAAATATGTCAGACGTTTCTTTATCCACATTTGGTCATCTTCATTTTTACTCAGAACGGATACATCATCCTGAATACAGTTGTGCAAGGAACCCATCCCCCTCAACAGTTACTGCTTCACTTGCAGTTTTTTAGTAATCTTCACAACAATCTTAGCACCAAAACTTATACAAAATATAAACAGTATGTAAAATACACATTTCTTTTATTACAATTTTGTTTCCATTCTTGACAGAATTATTACCGATACTCTAGTTGGTACTTGAAGTAATCCCAAAAGCACTCAATACTCAAGGTTTCAAGTTTTTTTTATACAAAGACTATAATTATCAGGCCAATAAGTCTATAAAAATAAAATTCTATTTACAAAAATGTACATGTATTTGTCATCTGCGGTTGAATGAATCCCAAAACTACTCAAAGGCTACTCAATGTTTTAACATGGCGGATGAGACAAAGTAGAAAGATCGCGGGTAACGCCATGTGGAAAGTAATCTTTTCTCTGAGGACGGACAGAGCACATTGTCAGAAACGTTGAGTTCTAAACTCAACCAACCAGTTTTTTTCAGAACCACACTTCTTCAAAGAAGAGATTACATGGTTGTTACCCGCAATCTTTCTACTTCATTGTTTTAACATTGTACATGAACACAAATTTCGTTGTCAGGCCAAAAAATTTCAACTTGTGACGGAAATGGACCAAACCACCCATACAGCCTCAGTGTTTGATAAGAAATCGATGAGTACCACACATCCACTAGGTTTCCAAATCAGCGATGTTTTCTTGCACACACGTACAGATTCGAAGCCTATTATAATTTTGTTTGCCAATTTAAAACGTTTACAGATGCACAATCGGTAAATCATTTACACTCTAAAAAGTCTCGGGTCAGATTGGCCATGAATCCAGGTCAGATTTGACCTGACACTTTTCTGGGTCAAATGACATTTCACTGAGTCACCTTTTTCTGCCATTCGATCCAAATAACTGTAATTTTGACAGTTGTATCAGGTCCAATCTGACCCGGATTCCGGGTCAAATCTGACCCGGGACTTATAAGAGTGTCAGTTTGACTTTGATGACAAACCACTGTGTCATACGTAGAGGCTGAACAGCTACTGCACGCAGTGCGACATATCTACTGATGAACTGAATCGAAAATGTTTCAATTTGCAACACGCATCCTGGAATGACACATTTGTGTGTAAATTCCAATTCCATAGTGTTAATTATTGTTTTAGCAGGACACAAGGTTGACATTTTACCGAATTTTTTGCTGGGACAAATATTTTTGTGTAGCAAATGTGGCCAAGATCAACATATCCCAGTTTCCACAAAACCTTCACCTCGGGTGTTTAATATTGTCTTGTGAAAAAGTTTCTCTCTTTCATTGAGAATGTTAACATTCGATTTCGTTATAAAAGTGGTAACTCATGGCGGGTGAGTTTCCACATGAACCCTAAGCGATGGGCAGTGGGACTTTAACTTATCTAATAATTCCCGGTTGCCACCAATGCACAAGTCATTCAGTCTCGGCGTGCCACCTACAGCAGAGGCGATATGTCCAAAGTCTGACGGTTGGACGTAGCAATCTCTCAGGTCCAGCCTATGTAAGTGCGTCATCTTCGGCAATTTCTTGGCCCACGACGCCCAATGCTGTGTTGTCGGCAAAGATCAAGTCAGTCAGACTGTGTATGTCACGTATATACAGCCGAGGCAATCTTTTCAAAGCCTTTCAATTCGTCGCAGAGCTGACAAACCGGCGAATCGACCATTTTGGCGATTTCGATTTTTTGTTATTTTTAGGCGTTATGAAGGTTGCTCTTTCAAGTATTTATGCCAAAATTCTTAATATTTGTCTGGATTTTGAGATTCAGAGCCCCCCTTGTGGCGAATCACTCATAAAAACAAATCCATAATTTGACATTTGACGAATACGAAATTTCGCTGGTAACCAGCTTATGTAAGGTGTGCGTTCCAAGTACCAACGAATGTTATTCGTCAGTTTGTCGGATTGCGCGTGCGTGCACGCGCGATCCGACGAACTGACGAATAGCATACAAACATTTCGCTGGTAACCAGCTTATGTAAGGTGTGCGTTCAAAGTACCAACGAATGTTATTCGTCAGTTTGTCGGATTGCGCGTGCGTGCACGCGCGATCCGACAAACTGACGAATAGCATACAAACAGTGTGAAGAACAACCGGATATTGCAGATTAATGTAATTTGACAAACTGACGAATGCGTTCACGATCAAATAAAATCATATCGCACAACTTCTCTGATTAAATAAGTGACCTGGTGGATACTTAGTTTCATATTTTATTCAGAATATATACTAACAGTATTTTTATCGAAACATTAAGGGTAAAATTCGGCGCCCGGAGGAGTGTACAACTTCAAACGCGATGTACTCCAAACAAGGTTTTTGCCTATTCGTATGTTTGGGCCGTTTTTTTTTTAATTACTTGGATTACGGAATTTTTGGGTCCCCATTTCCGGCGGCGAGCGGGAAATGAAAAAAAAAAAAAAAAAAAAAAAAATGGGGGCGCCCTATCATCCAACATGGCGGCGCCCATAGAGACATGAAGAAACAAAAACGGGCACGAGAATGAACAGTCACTGCATTTTCAAAACCACGGTTTCAAAGAAATAGTGACCATGGAGTGACCAGGCCAGTTCCCCCGATTTTTTTAGCATTCAAAAATCTCCTTTTCAACCTAAAGCAGACTTCTCTCAGATCAAATGACACCTTTTTGTAATTGTGAAAAACAAAATGGGATACAAATTACGTTTTTTTTAACGCGATTTTATGGGTGGTGCCGGTGCCGTGCGATCGTCATCTTTATTTTCATGTTGCGTTTTGACGTTGTCATCGTCATTTTCCCCCCAAATTTCCCTCTATTTATGACCTACCTGTATGTTCTTAAATGTCGACAACTAGTTTGGTAAGTCAAATAAATTAAAAGTGGATTTTGTTCTCTTTGAGAACCGGGCCCATACACGATCGCCATTTATAACTTTTGACAATCGGCATGATCGTCCGGACACCATGTGCACGCGTGTTTTGGCCTCGAGCTCGTTTTCCTCGTACAAAAACATCAATGCGTATTATATAGTGTACCGCGCGTGGAAGCACTGAGAAAAAGAAAGTCGGTTGGCTGCACGTAAGATCTGCCGTACGTACTGCTGGCGGTCATACTAAACAGCGTCAACACAGCGTCAACAAACTCCAAAGCGTCAACACGGCGTCAACACAGCGTCAACACATCCAAAATGCATTAAAAGTGACAAAAGCAGTATGTAGCCCATATAGTTTGGAAAGAAACAAGATTTTTGCTTAAAATCAATAGGTTAAACGTCTGAAAATTGCGATTTTCAGTTCAAGAAAATTGGCTCTCTTTGCAGCTCTGAGATCGGCTGCCATGTTGCCTCAGTGGCAGCGCGGACCATACCATTATGCTGAAGGTTGATAGCGTTGTACAATAAACCTCAGTCCCTCACAGATCAGAGTGCACTGGTGTCCCTCTCTGCAGCAAGACGCCCTCTGTTGTTTATGACAAGATTACTTGCACACCCCTACTTGAAATGGTGTAGTCCAAGCTTTGTGCGAAGTTAAAATGGTGGACAACGGCCGTGCAAGTGAAGGGTCATTTTTTCGCGTGAAAATACTATATTTCTAACAACAAAATGGAAACTCAATCCAATGAAAATTCTCTTTTATTCGATGCTTTACAATTATATACCTTTTCTGTTAATTCAGAATGTGTTTTGGATGTGTTGACGGTGTGTTGACGCTTCTGTCATGTGTTGACGTTGTGTTGACGCTGTGTTGACGCTGTTTAGTGCGACCCACTCCTGCTGGTGTGTGGGGGTGTGGGTGTGTGTGTGTGTGTGTAATACAGATATATATTTTTGCGGCGGGGTTGTCGCTACTTGAAGTATCGGCACACTCCGGAACTGGGGATTCAGTTGTCAGTGTGTACTTGTACATCGCGCGTACCTAATAGTATAGTACGTACAGTGCATGGGGAATCGCTGGTGTTCGCACGGCCGGCCGTACCGTGCGTGTGATTGATTCAGCGAGATTTTAAGACAACCCCGATCGGGCTGGGATGACATCGAAACACATTGTTAATGTGTGGAAAAACAACTGAAATCAATTATTTTAGTTGTAAATGTACACTGTAGAGTCAAAAAAATTAAACCTGGCGGCAGGATTTTAAAGCTTGGCGGGGACTTCTTAAACATGGCGGGCGCCGCAGAAAGCATGGCGGGGCGCCAGGTTTGTTCTACAAAGTTGGAGAACACTGGTGTCGTTCGATCAAACCAGTACTAATACTATGGTTTACAGGCCTGGACAGCGCGCAATAAAGAGTTTTTTGTACGATAGGCACATTTTTTTTTTTTTTTTTTTTTTTTGGGTAGTCAGAATCGACAATTTCCGGCGGCGATTTTTTTAATTTTTTTCAAAATTCCGATTTTTTCCGGCGGCGATTCCGTAATCCAAGTAATTAAAAAAAAACGGCCTTGTCAGCTCTGTGACGAATTGCACTGTACAATTGCTCAGGTTCAACGTCTGTATGTTCGTAAGTTGCGAGAAATGCTTTGCCCACAACTTAGGCGATCCGCATAATGCTGTGTTGTATGCAAGGATCAAATCAGTCAGTCTTCGCATGTCACGTACAGCCGAGACGATGAATTCAATGTCTGTGCATTGCAATGTACAATTGCTCAGGTTCAACGTTTTTATGTTCGTAAATCGCGACAAATCCTGGGCCCACCACCTAGCCCATCCGCCCAACGCTGTGTTGCCGGCAAGGATCAAGTCAGTCAGTCTGGGCATGTCGCTTGCAGATGAGGCAATGTGTTCAATGTCTGTCCATTGTAATGCACAATTGCTCAGGTTCAACGTCTGTATGTTCGTAAATCGCGACAAATTATTGACAGACAAATCAGCCGATCCGCCCAAAGATTTGTTGCCGGCAAGGATCAAGTCAGTCAGTCTGGGCATGTCGCTTGCAGATGAGGCAATGTATTCAATGTCTGTCCATTGTAATGCACAATTGCTCAGGTTCAACGTCTGTATGTTCGTAACTGGCGACACAATATTGACAGACAACTCAGCCGATCCGCCCAAAGATTTGTTGCCGGCAAGGATCAAGTCAGTCATCGCAGGAATGTGGCTTACCACAACGCAAATCATACCAACATCTTCCCACGTTAGTGAGGAATTGCTCAGGTCCAGCGTGTGTTTTTCCTTCACTCTTAACAAGTAACGGGACCACTTCTCAGTCAATACGCCAAGTGCCGGGTTGTCAGTGAGGATCAAGTCAGTCAGCCTGGGCATGTCACTGACAGCCGAGGCAATGTGTTTAATGTCTGTCCATTGCAATGCACAATTGCTAAGGTTCAAGGTCTGTATGTTCGTAAATCGCGACAAATTTCTGACCCACAACTCAGCCGACCCCCCCAACGATGTGTTGCCAGCAAGGATCAAGTCAGTCAGTCTGGGCATGTCACTGACAGCCGAGGCAATGTGTTTAATGTCTGTCCATTGCAATGCACAATTGCTAAGGTTCAAGGTTAGTAAGGTCCTAAGTCGCGACAAATTATTGACCCACAACTCAGCCGACCCCCCCAACGATGTGTTGCCGGCAAGGCTCAAGTTAATCAGTTCAGGAATGTGCTTTATCACAGCAGATATTGTTCCAATATCTTCCCATGTTAGTGAGAAATTGCTTAGGTCCAGCGTGTCTTTTTGCTTTACTCTTAACAAGTAACGGGACAATTTCTCAGTCGATACGTCAAGTGCCGGGTTGTCAGAGAGGATCAAGTCAGTCAGTCTGGGCATGTCACTTACAACCCAGGCAATGTGTTCAATGTCTGTCCATTGCAATGAACAATTGCTCATGTTCCACGTATGTACGTTGTTTAATCGCAACAAATTCATAGCCCGCAACTCCATCGACCCACCCAACTTTGTGTTGCCGGCAAGGATCAAGGTGGTCAATGCGGGAATGTGGTTTACCATAAAGTAAATCGTACCAAGATCTTTCCCCGTTAGTGAGAAATTGCTCAGGTCCAGTGTGTGTTTTTCCTTCACTCTTAACAAGTAACAAGACAACTTCGTAGCCGATACGTCAAGTGCCGGGTTGTCACTGAGGATCAAGTCAGTCAGGCTGGGCATGTCATTTACATCAAAAGCAATGTGTTCAATGTCTGTCCATTGCAATGCACAATTGCTCAGGTTCAACGTCTCTACATTCGTAAATCGCAGCAAATTCTTGGTCCACGAGTCAGCCGATCCGCCCAACGCTGTGTTGCCGGCAAGGATCAAGTCAGTCAGTCTGGGCATGTCACGAATAGACGAGGCAATGTGTTCAATATCTGTTCCCTGTAGTTTGCAGTAACTTATCTCAAGTTTGTTGAGGCTTGTCAAGTGTTTGATATGAGGGGCCCATTCTATAGCTCTACCTCCCAATGTACTGTCCGACTTTATACAAAGATCAGTCAAGAGTTGGTTGCATTTTAGTGACGTCAGGGTTTTCTCAAGATCTCCCTCCGCTAAAGGACAACTGTAGAACCTCAGATTCCTGAGGGTTTTCATGTAATCCAGGGCGAAGGCTAAATCCTTGACTGAAGACACGCGAGAAACCTTAATGGTTTCAACGGGTGCCAGTCGTGTCATGTGGCTGTCCGCGGACCTACACATGATTTTAAGAAGGTGTACGAGACTGCGCAAATCACTATTGCCGTATACACTGATAGTTGATGGGATAAGTGAGTCGCTGGTGAGACACCGTGGGACGTTTCCTGACTGGCTTTCGAAAACGCAGTTTCGACTAATCGCTTGTATAACACCCGATTGATACATGGGCCTATCTCGATCCTTACCGAACTTACGGTCAAGAAACTTTACGATGTCTTTCATGCACTTTTCATTGTCACCACAACAAAAACGTAATAGAAAATCGTTTGAAACAACGCCCTCAATTCTAAGACAAAGCTGCTTTAAGTTTTTATGAAATTCTCCGAATTCTGCAACTTTGTACGCCGCACGCTTTGCAAGTCCCCTGTTGGACATATGAACACTCTGTAAGTATGTCGCTGCACAGTATTCCTGCATAGTCTTGTGCGTGAATTGTATGTTGTTGTGGGATTTACGGTTCTTGATAACTCTCTGCTGGGTCAGGATGCCTGCTCTTAGTGCTATGTCCAGCGCCTTGGATTCAAACTCATCTTCTTGAAATGAGAAATACTGGTTAGCACCTATGAGTCCTTGCAGCGCAGTTTTTCCTATTGCAATCAATGTTTTTGGTACATCTTCGCCGGAGATTTCTGGTTTTCTCGTGAACATGTAATCAACTGCCTCAGAGAAAAGGCGCGAAGATGTTTCGGGGAGTTGTTCACTTTCCCTCCACAATAAGCACATAAGCAGCAGCAACATAGGATTGTTAGCTAAATCACTCATCGCGTTGGACTTACTTATGGTTTGGATAAGTGCCTTGCCACTATCACGATCTTCCTTGTAGAACTTCCGAATATATTCATTAACATCCTCATCAGTAAACCCCAGAACCTCTACGTGTGTGCAAGGATTTTGGATAAGTGATTTTGACGTCAGTTTCTCAAGATGAGAGGGGCGTGTTGATACACAGATTACACATTCCCGGTATTTTGTTCTATTGAGTGCTTTTAGGATAGAACCAAATGAGGCTGCATTGAGTGTTTTGGTGCTCATTTCATCGAAACCATCCAAAAGAATCAAGACCTCATTTGGGCTGGCTAGGATGATTTGATCAAGTTCATCTGTTGCTATTCCTGAATCTTCGCCTAGAAGCTGATCGAAAGTGGAAGCAACAAGATCAGATTCTTGTGACAGGGCATACATCTTTAAGAGAAAGACAAGCTCGAATCTTTTCAGGATTTCGCTTGCCTCTTCTGCCCAGTCAAATGCAATCTTATCAAAAATAGTGGACTTCCCCACACCCCCCATGCCATAGAAAATGAGGCGTTTGATGAGTTCCCCAGTTTTTGTCCTTAATCTGAATATTTTGGCATACTCTGTTGAGTTTACAGTTTCTCCTTTCTTATCAGTGACTTCTGCTAACCCTTCCCGTGTTTCTAACTGTACTTTGGTGTATATACCAGTTATGTGCTTTTGGTCATTATCAACCCCAGGTAACAACTGTACGTAACTGCCTGTTGTTTTATAAAATATCTTTAACTTGTCCCTAGTCTTGTTACCAGCTTCTTGGCAGGGATCCATCAACCTTGGTTCTTGGTCTGGCCTCTGACTATGCTGGGGTCTGGGTGCTGGCACTCCTATTCAGATCAAAACAAACAACAAACTGCTTCAATAAAACAATGTGTCTGAAACAGATTGAACTGTTTTTTTTTCTATGGAGAAAAACATGTAAAGGAAATTGATGGATTTCCAGTCCGGTAGTAAAGCAGTGCACAAAATAAATCTGCCCGAACATAAATAAATGAATATTTTGGCTATTGTACTGCTGTTGGACACAAACTTTTCCACTGTTACCTTATAGTAAATGTACCTGCAGGTGTGCAAAAAAGTTGATTGGACATCATTATCCCAAGGTTGACTAAGATAATAACAACAATCTTTCTGCCGATTCCTTAAATCCCAAACAAGTCTTATATCGTTCCTTCAATTCATATATAAATGCAAAATTAAGATGCAACTTAATAAGGTTCCGTTTTTCCGTCTTTTTTTCAGATATGACAAACATACTCAAGAGCGTTATTTTAATTGGCAAGTGTACATAGAGGAAACAATATACATAAATAGATGGACAATACATCAGCTGGTTTCTGTTTGTTACACTTAAACTTGTCACGTGTTGTCCGAGTTCAAAATACTGTGAGCGGCGTAAATAAATGTATTTAGTTGGATAGCAGCACCCTTTGGTGATAAAACTACAGTCATAGGTGATGTTCTAGCCACCGACATTTTTTTGAAAAGTATGAATTTTACTCCAAACTTTTATCAGAATAGTAAAGGTCGCAGGAAAAGAAAATGATAAAAAATCCAGAGTAATTATTTATAAATCGCACTGTATCAGGAAACCCTATGCAAATAGATGTACATATACCACCAGTGGCGTAGCCATGGGGGGGGGACTGAGATTTTCAGTTTCTAAAAAATTATAATTGATCTACATGACGCCCCCCCCCCCCCCCCCCCGCATGAAATGTTTCAGCCCCCCCCCCCACTGAAAAATTCCTATCTACGCCACTGTGTACCACGCGGATACCCATCTGCAATCATCACCGCCAATAACAATCTGACCACATTTCACAGGTCGTATTTGCGTTCAGTTCTTCACTTTTTAAAAAACAATGGTTTTTTTCCCAGCTAGTGCGTCACATTTACTTGGTCTCAAGTTAGCTGTAATTGGTTAAGTAATGAATACCTGAAGCTTGTGTGGAAGGAATGGGTGACGGACTTGGGCTAGATGGATTGGCATTTGGTGAAGACGTGGTGACATCTCCTGTTACAGTTACAGTAGCAGCTGAATAAAACAGACAAAAAGGTAGTAACTGCTGGTGAAAAGATTATCCAACGAAAACTAACTACGATAATCACTACACTCCAAAAAGTAATATCTCGTTCGTTCAATTCTGATTGAGAATCATCTTTGCCCAACAGCTCACGATCCTAACTATAATTCTTCAAATCATTTTCTTAGGCAACAACGCTCATCTATTAGTGGAAAATTAATGTGCGACTGGGGGCGCTACATATGGAAGGATACAGTGTTGAGCATTATAGCACGCCTTTAACCACTCCAAATAGCGCCCTCTTACTGTCCACAGGCCTCTACTGGTATCAAATCCATCATTTGTGTCCATCTTTATGTAGAGTAGCACCTCCCCCCCCCCCAAAAAAAAAACCCAAAAAAATTCTAGTAAAAATAATACATTAATATTTGATATAAAATATTGAATTACTTTCATCATAACGAACAATATTAAATAATACCTGCTGTTTCTGGGGGTGAATTGTAGTGGAAAATCACTTGACCTGCACCAACAACAGTAGGGCTTTGGTTACCGCTGACTGTGCCAATGTTTCCAATGCTGCCTGCAGTTCCTAGAGGGGAATAAAAAATCGGAAGCATGAATTTAAACCCCCTAAATCGACCAACAAACAACAAAAATGCTCGATTTCATCTCTACCGGTAGTTGTCTTCTGTGCTTGAAAAATATTGCCTAGTAATAAAAGCAGATTTTCTTTTTTTTAAGTTGACCGTTCATAGAAACAGAAGAACATGAAACCGGGTATATGACTCAACAAATCTTGGAGTGCAGTGGGTGGTTGGGGGGGGGGGGGGAGGGGGGTTATAAATTGACCCCACGCAACTGGTCTAACTTTAGCTTCAACTCACCTGTTGCAGCTGAGGGGGCGGGTACCTCAGCCTCCTGTTCAAGCCGTTGGTAGGGTACATGTACTTTAGATCTTGCGCCAATATCCATGGTTCTCTGGATCACCAGGTCACATATGGAAATTCTGTTTGTCAAAAATCAATAAAAAAACCTCGAATGAAAAAATAAATACAGGTCGTACATGCATGAAAATGGTACCATTAGAAAGAGCAAGAGCGCCCCCTTTAGATAACATATTTACTCTACCTCGTACATGTACGAGGTTTGGCAATTTTAGGTACGATTCTTTACGGGGGTCAGACAAGTCGACCGTTGAGACAACTCGACTCGGGACAAGTCGACCGTTGAGACAACTCGACTGTTGAGACAACTCGCCCGTATGTGCGATAAATGGAAAGACAAGTCGACCGTTGAGACAAGGCGCCTCGCATGTTTTGGGCCTAGTTTCGGGGATAGTACCGGGGATTTTGCATATAACAGAGCCGATATAGCGCAGCGTGATTGTCCGTGCACATCGTTCATTTTTTTCAAGGCCACGTGCGCGCATCCCCAGTCAACGTGGCCGTACCGTGCACGGTGGCATCGTTTTTGCCGGGCCTGTGCGCCCACTTATCTCATCCCCGGTCGGTCAAAGTGGCCGTACTGTGCACGGTGACATCGTTTGTGCCGGGCCTGTGCGCCCATTTGCCGCGCCGGTCGACGTGCCTGCGTGCCGGGCCCGGCCCGGTCCTCGCGGCCGGGCGGGGTGCACCGGCCCGACGCGACGCCCTCTGTCCATCGAGTATGCCCGCGCCACACCCGTGATCGGTCTTGCCACAGATTTGTGCAACTTTTTCTGCTCCACGTGTATTCATTTCCATTAAGTCAAGTCTCAACGGTCGAGTTGTCCCGAGTCGAGTTGTCTCAACGGTCGACCTGTCTCAACGGTCGAGTTGTCTCAACGGTCGACTTGTCCCGAGTCGAGTTGTCTCAACGGTTGACTTGTCTGACATTCACATTTACAAACATTACCTCGTACATGTACGAGGTTGGCGTTATTGGACTAACAAATATACCTCGTACATGTACGAGTTTGGCACTGAAAGAGTTAACACTCAAGACCACTGAAAAACAAAAACAACTTAAACAAGGTACGAAAAGCTTTGTTAATTCAATTAAAGCAGAAAGGCTAAGCTTGTAAATTGAGTGGTAGTGGTAACGTGATGGAAATGAAAAATTCACTTTTGCTGTTCGCATGGAGACTTGACTGATGAACATGTATAATAACAGTTTCTGAAAGAAGACTAGTGGCACCAGACTAATACACTTGTGGCCGCATTGATCCTATGCAACATACATGAAAACAAGCCTCATAAGCTGCCCCAACTCACAAGTAAGCTAGGTAAAATATGCAATAGTAAAACTCCTCAATAGGTAATCTGACGTATATTCATCCATGAAACCAGGAAAAAATAAATCACCGATGTAGCCAAACTTACAGTTAAGTTCAGAGCGGGTAGGCCGTCAGCTGGGTGATAAAATTCGTTCGTTTCGCTCCAGCAATCGCGGGTCTAGATTTTGTAAACAGTTTTGACTACATGAAGAACTAAAGAATGATGGTATGAAAGTTCTCCACATTTCATCCTGCAGTTTTTTAGTAATTCCACGGCAAAGAGCGAACTATTTTGTCATCGGGGAAGGTCGAGTGCGCACTGCGTTACGTTAAAAAAATCGTTCGCGAATGACGAAATCGTATCATGTGATGCGAATTGTCCAATCCGACACCAGGTTGTAGGTCGTAGGTCATGACACGTCAACAACAAAAATGGCGACGTCCGGCGGTGCTGCAGGCATGGCCGGTGACGACGGGGCTTCAACGTCGACACCAACAACTTTGAGGTGCTTAATGCACATAGAATCTGTGACAAATGAAAAAACGAAGTCCCTCACGAAAATTAGGTGGATTAAGTTCACTTCTTGTGCCAAAGAGTGGCTTAATTTGAGCGGCAGAGATCGCGAAATCGCCGAACAAACCCAACGTGTGGGACTGCTAGATCTAAAATATGGCGAAGCGTGTGAAAGGCAATCGGACCTCGGTTTTCACGATACTTGCTACCGGAGGTTTATCGGGGGTCAGACAAGTCGACCGTTGAGACAACTCGACTCGGGACAAGTCGACCGTTGAGACAACTCGACCGTTGAGACAACTCGACCGTATGTGCGATAAGTGGAAAGACAAGTCGACCGTTGAGACAAGTCGCCTCGCATGTTTTGGGCCTAGGTTTGGGGAAAGTACCGGGGATTTTGACGGCGGCTGGTCGCCGTTTGGGAGTAATGACATATGAAGGGTTTTTTTTGCATTAAAAGAACCGATATAGCGCAGCGTGATTGGCCGTGCACATCGTTCGTTTGTTCTGGGCCACGTGCGCGCATCCCCGATCAACGTGGCCGTACCGTGCACGGTGGCATCGTTTTTGCCGGGCCTGTGTGCCCACTTGCCGCACCGGTCGACGTGCCCGCGTGCCGAGCCCGGCCCGGTCCTCGCGGCCGGGCGGGGCGCACCGGCCCGACGCGACGGCCACCGGATCGGAGCGCCCTCTGTACATCGAGTATGCCCGCGCCGCGCCCGTGATCGGTCTTGCCACAGATTTGTGCAACTTTTTCTGATCCACGTGCATTCATTTCCATTTAGTCGAGCAGTCTCAACGGTCGAGTTGTCCCGAGTCCAGTTGTCTCAACGGTCGACCTGTCTAACGGTCGAGTTGTCTCAACGGTCGACTTGTCCCGAGTCGAGTTGTCTCAACGGTCGACTTGTCTGACATCCGGTTTATCGACAATAAACGCATGGAGGCTGCCAGAAAACGAAAACTGCAGGAGGAAGACGCTCCAGCTGAATCCTCTGTTTTGTCCCCGAAGAAGCTCCGGGTAAGATCAAGATCAAGATCGTCTTCTGGAAGAGCTTCAAGTTCGGGAGTATTGCCTGTTCAGTGCATCATTTGCAGTAAAGTTGAGCTGTACATTGATCACCGTGGAATACGAGTCAAGGATAAGCTGGCACAAGCAGAAACTTCCGATGGAGGTAGGCCATCATAATAACGACAATCTTGTCTCGTGACAATGAACATGATAATTTTTAATATTAATAAGGTATTTCAAAGTAATATGGATATCTATTCTTGTTCGCGTGAAGCCAAAAGAACACGCGTTGCTTTGCTAGACGCGGGCGCATTTTGGAATTATTTCACACAGCCCATGGAATTTAAATTCATTATATTCATGTGTTATTGATGCAGGAAAAATGTAGTTTGTATTTTTCAATTTGTTTTTAAGGAATGCTTCGTGAGGCAGCAGAGCTTAAAAAAGATGAGGACATCTTGATCCATATCCGAGACAAAGATTGTGTGGCTCTTGAGGTGAGATACCACGCATCATGCTACAAGAACTACGTACGGTTCCTGACAAGGAAGAGCAAGGATCCTGAAGGGTAAGTACATTTAGTAGACAATATAAATGGGAAAAAGTTCCATACCTGGATATCACTTGACACTAACCTGAAATATTCTGTGTGTTCTCAGTAAATGCTTCAATATTTTCCTGGCAATTTTTTTTTTTTTTAACGACATGTTATCATTTTCTGATGGCTGATACACTGTAGATCACTGCAGGGAAAATTAGACTTAGTGATGTCCGTTTATGGAATTCCTGCCCAATAATGAATTTCAGATTTCCACAAAGTTTTATTGATGGAGTTTTTTACGGGTCTACAAACATCTGTTATTAAAACATCTGAAGTAAAAATCTTTTCTTCAAGTGTTTTGGTAAATGTTTTGAGTATTTCCGGTTTCACTTTAAATTGAAATCATATTTATGGCCATGTTTGATAATTTTGCTGAAACTAATAATAGTGATAAGTTTAAATACAATGATTCAGAAAAATCCAATACAACCACCAGTAGTGAGAATTCTATAAAGTAGGGCATTGTGCTAGCCCTGTGGGGAGCCAACTCATGTTGCTGTGGTGACCTTGTTTGCATAATGATGTCTGAAGTACAGCAAGAAATCCTTATAGATTCATGCCATAATTCCTTGAAGTACAGAGTATGCAGTGGCATATAGTGCACACACAAATCAAGCCATATTTTGACTGATTTTTTATTTCATTTCACATGCATAATTCCAAAAATGAGATGTCTTGCCGTTCATTCCCATCGTTGCGTTGAAAGATACTTCTTTATTTCTGATATTTGTTCCCATTTCTAAATGTTTAGGGGGTATAAAATCTTTCTATTTGGATGCAATAACCAATATGTAAATTGCTGTTTACTGTTTGATTCTATTTAAGGAGTGAACATCAGGAAGAATATCGTCAAGCCTATGAGAAGTTCTGCGACTCTGTTGTGCAGCAGCGATTATTTGACAACCAGGAAATCCTCAGGATGTCGAAGCTTGCACAGCTGTTCGTCAATATGATAAAGAAGAATGAAGGAATTGACCTTGAATCTTACCGGTAGGATGGTTTTACAATAATTGTGCTTACAAACATAACCTTTAATAACATATTCAAGCTGACAATTTCTTGATACTGTACAAGTTCAAAAGAGGATGCATAGACAGCCCCTTGGTGCTTAATCTAAGCTACCAAAATTTAGATATTTACAATGGAAGGGGTCTTCCACGGAGTTGTAACAAGTCATTTACCCCCCCGACTCAGATCATTGAGTCCCAAAAAGTTGTGCCTTGAGTTAGGATTGGCGTATAGTCATTTGCTTGAATTGAATTTCAACTATGACTTTTCAAGGATCAAGCATGTATGATCTTTCTCGTAATTTCATTGTGGACTGAATTGAATTTGTTTTCCTTCTGCTCAAGCACTTCCACAGTAATCCTTGTTATTAACCAGTCTATTTTTATTAATTCCTCTAATATAGAACTGACAAGTTGAAGTATCGTCTCAGAAGAGATTTTCCTGAGCTCTGCTTCCACAAACCTTTCCGAAGAAACAAGTGCGAGATTGTGTACAGTGCTACCTTGTCAGCTGGGAGTGTAGTCGAGTCTTTGGACACTTCAGAGTCGTCATCATCAACCGAAACTTCCGACTTGGAAGGCAAGGCCAATGCTCCATCCTCTTCATATGCTGTTACTGGGCAGGATTCGATGAGAGCTTTGTACAATGCAGGTTAGACCACAATTTAAACGCATTTCACATGCAACTGCTCAGACTGTTTTCAGACATCTGCGGTGTCAGACACACTTGTGTTCTAGTCCTTTCCTCCTGAGTCCCAAAATGTTTTGAAGTATGTGTACAATGTGCTGTACTCATTGAGTTTGCGGAGCACGACATTATGGAATGACTATATGTACATGTACTTGGTCTTTCCATCATAAATAAAATATTTTTGACTCAGAAAAGGACAAGAATACAGCACTTGTATTTGGCAATTGTATAAAGGGAGGGCAATTGTCTCCACTCCCCCCCCCCACTACCACCCCCTTCCAAACCCCCCCCCCCACCACCAACGTCCCCATGTCCCCCCCCCCCACCATCGCCCCCATGCCCCCCCCCCCCCCCCCTACACACACACACTCACTGTAAGGACCTTAATAGAAGTAAATTGTATTGCACTCATGGTATGTATGTTTGGGAAGTTAAGGACCATTCCACATTGTTTTGAAGTTTACATTGTACATCCCTTGGAAAATTCCACCGAGTGCCTGAAAATGAGTACAATTACCGTTCACTATTTCTCTTATTTTTCTATTCAATAGGTATGATTGTCCGGAATGCAATCAAAGATTCCCCTGGCATGACGTGTCCTTGGCCACCAACATCAGACGACCTGACCCTGGAGTCTGCGAGGGCAATGGTTCCATTGGAACTTTTCAATTTAATGGCCTGGTGCGTTGGGGCAAGTGAAGAGCCAAGCCTGACAACTTACGCAGATGTGAGGTTTGAAGATCATGTCAAAATCCTGTCCATATCACAAGACATAATTTATCTAGCTTCAAATGGGAGAAAGCAGACACCGAAATCGCTATGCTTGGGCTTGACTGTGCGTCATCTCACCGGCTCATCACAACTTCTGAGGCTGCTCAACAAGTTTGGTCACTGTTCATCATGGGACACAATCATTGGTTTGGAGACGGGTCTTGCCCAGCTGCAACTGGCAGCATCACATGCAGTTCCCAAAGGTTTTGCAGAAAAGACACCGACAATACTTGTGTGGGACAACATTGACTTCGGCGAGGAGACTGTTTCAGGTCATGGTACCACACACCACACCAATGGAATCATGATCCAGAGCTGTATTGCAGAACCGACATCTCAGTATGATAGGCTTGAAATCAAGAAAGGTATCCGGTCATTAACACCAAGCATCACAGCTTTGGAGTCCTTCACTAGTGTGGGTAGACAAGGCCCGAAATGTGTTGGTGATAGTGCGATGGTAGATCGTTCTCTGTATGAGCCTGTACTGACGCCTGCCCTACAGAAGGACTTTGCGTTTCTGCTGTCGAAGTATTTGGATGATAAAGCTGAAGTACCTGGTTGGACAGGTTTTAACATCAACCTCCAAGGGGAAATGACACTACACAGGTCGGCCATCCACTACTTACCAGTAATAGAAGCATCGCCAACAGAGATGACAACAGTAAACACCATCATAGAAAGGAGCGTTTCCATAGCAGACAGACTACAGCTGCAGCATATTGTTTTGGTCTTTGACCAAGCAATTTATGCTAAGATTCAGGAGATAAGATGGGCAAGAGATGATGTGATGCAACGGACAGTTGTACGGCTAGGGGAGTTGCACACATGTATGTCATATATGGGAGTAATTGGAAAGCGCTTCGGTGATGCAGGTCTCCAAGATATATTAATTGAATCTGGAGTGGTGGCTGCAGGTTCAATCAATGGTGTTTTGAGTGGGCATCAGTACAACAGAAGTGTACATTCTCACAAGCTCATGTTTGAGGCATTGCAGAGATTGAGATTCACAGCCTTCTGGGACACCCTTACTGATGAAGACGTAGAGAAATACTCCCGTGTATTCGACAAGAGTACTAATATCCAGGAACTACTAGTGCAGTCTGAAGAGTTTGCAGATCTTCTGTCATGCTATGACGACTTCATCAAGAGAAGCAACCAAGAAAGTCCAACTTTTGCTCTATGGAGCTCCTACATTGATATGGTGCAGTTACTGCTTGTATTCATCAGAGCAACCCGGGAATCAGATTGGCATCTGCATGTTGCGGTCATTCGATGTATGATACCATGGTTCTTTGCCTATGATAGGACAAACTATTCCAGATATCTTCCTGCCTACTGGATGGAAATGGTCAGTTTGCCATCAACACACCCGAGGTGTTATGAGGAGTTAAGTGCACGGGGTGAATGGACGGTGCAGCGCCAAGGCCGATATCCCTTTGCATCTATTGCATGCGACCAAGCTATCGAACAAACATGTAATAGAGACAGTAAAACAAGGGGAGGCATCACTAGCTTCACATTGAACCGTGGAGCAGTCCAACGATGGATTCTGTCACAACCTGAGAGATCAGCTATAACAAGACAATGTGAAGTTATGTCAGGCATTGAGGTCCAGGAGCGTAAGCCAAAAGAATTGGACAGCTCAAGAATCAAGAGAGATGACAAAGCTGTTGGATCTATCCTGTCAACAGTCGCCAGCATGATCAATCCATTTGATTGCTGTACAAGGGAATTGGTCTGTTTAAGTTCTGGTGCTGTTGCAAGTGATATCGTGAAAGCTGACTTGATGAACGCACTGCAAGGTGGTGAAGCGGATGCAGTTGAGTACATGAAAGACCGGTTGATTGCGAACAAGGTGGATATGTTTTCAGCGATAAAGCAGAAGAAGCTGAAAACGTTCTCAGATAATTCCCAAAGTGTAAAGAAAACCGGCAAAGATGTCATCAAGCAGAACAGAGCATTCTTTGCTCGGCTTCTAATTGTGGGACAAAAACGCAAGATTGACCTACGGGAAGTTCTGTCATATTCCCTTGGCAGTGTTTCATTCCCTCTTGCTAGTGTCAACGGTTCTCTGGCGAAGACTGACAAATCTGCTCTCCTTCATGCAATTGAGGACAAAGCTGTTAACGCTCTTGTTACTGAAGTAACGTCAAATGCAGCTATACTAATTGATGGCATGGCTCACATCCAATCCATGCGGGACATCCCAGAGTCGTTTGGAGAACTAGCTGAAGCTGTCTTAAGTCAAGTATGTAGCGTTGCAACAAAGAACAATTGTTCCCGGGTCGACTTTGTCACAGATAGATACCCTTCCATAAGCATCAAGAACGCAGAGAGAGCTAGAAGGGCAGAGGCTGGAACACAGATGGTCAAGATTTACAGCAAGGACCAAAAAACTCCAAAGCAGTTCAAGAAGTTCCTTTCAAATGGTCTAAACAAAGAAGCATTGATTGACTTCATGTTCAAAGCCTGGAAGGAGACCGAGTTCAACCCAAGAAACCTGACAGTTTTCACCACAAATGGTGAATATTGTGATCGCTTGCAGTGGAAGGAGGGTGTACTTGAAGCTTCACCGTGCTCTGAGTTAGTCTGTGATCATGAAGAAGCAGATACTAGGCTTTTGCTTCATGCAAGACATGCTGCAGAATCAAACTCAGCAGTAATCATCAGAAGTCCAGACACTGATGTTGCAGTTATAACTCTCTCTCTTCTTGACAGCTTGCCCAGTCGTATATATTTTATGACGGGTAAAGGAAATAAGAGCCGCATTATAGACCTTCAACAAGCCACTTCCAGTCTAAGCATGCCTTGCAGATGCCTCATTGGGCTACACATTTTCACAGGTTGTGATTCCACAAGTGCGTTCTACGGAAAAGGAAAACAGAAGGCGCTGAAGATAATACAAGAGCACCCGGAATTTCAAGAGACATTCTCTGATCTGGGGAAAGAATTCAACCTAGAAGAAAAAGCACTGGCATCGCTGGAGAAATTTGTCTGTATACTCTATGGCCAAACGACAGAGAGTGTCGATGATGCCCGGTACAAGGCCTTTTGTTCCACTCCATCCTCCGAGCAGAGTCTGCCTCCAACAAAAGATGCACTCACCCAGCACGCTAAACGTTGCAATTACCAGGCTGCAATACACCAGCGATCACTACAGCAGAAGATTGACGCACCATCTCCAGATGGACATGGCTGGAAACTTGAAGATGGAGAACTAACCATCACTTGGATGATGAAGCCATCTGCACCAGATGTTCTCCTTCAGTGTGTCAGCTGTAGTTGTAAAGTTGGCAAATGTCTTAAAGGGCGATGCTCGTGTCTGTCTGCAGAGCTACCATGCACAGATCTGTGCAAATGCACGAATTGCAGCAACTTCATAGAAGAAATTGATGTTGCAGACGCAGGCGAGGATGACTTGTATGATGAAATTTGATGGACAGTAATGAGAAAAAAATACTTTGGACTTTCATGGAAGCACTAAACATCCAGATTTCACAATTATCCTTCTGTTCAAATTTTATTCCTCGCCATTTTAGGCCTTTGCGTCATGCCAGTTGTTTTCATGCAATATTGCAATACACATAGAGTTGAGTTGAGTTGTCTTTTTCCTTGTATTGATGCACAAGAGAAGTCCCCAAAGCTGCGAAAATTATTTCAGTGATAACCATTGTATGAAATTGTATATAGCCTGAAATGGCTTTTTTCCCCACCCTACCCGCAATCAATGGCTGGGTCAAGTACATGTGTACCATGGTTGCTTTCTGAAATTATGCCAAACTCTGACTTCTAACAGCCAAACAGGACTTTGATTTATAATTTTTTTAGGCTGTTTCATTAGCGTTTTAACATATACACAATGTCTACTACCGTGTAGCGGGTTCTTAAAGATGGCACCTGAATCACTATCGGATCAAGAGTAGATAACTTTTTTTCCCTTTTTTTTTTTAAGAGGGACCTCTTGTCCGATTTTATGTTTCTTCTACTGTAAGTTAGTTATTTAATTAGTTAGCAGCAGAAATGTTCCCCACTTAAGGTGACACCCCCGCCCCAAAATACTGGATCTATCACTGCTGATTGGAAAACAACATTTATATGTAGCAAATTTAATAAACATTTCCATAGCATTTATTTCCACGGTACTGACCCATAATTTAGATTATAATAAATTATTTTGGGGAAAGAAACGACAGCGGTGATTGCTACCAGATTAGAAATAACAGTCTCAAAAATAATTTGCAAGATAAGGTTGCAAAGATATGTATTTCCATTGGTGTTTGATAAAATACAAAATGTACAAAGGGTCACCTGCTGTTAACAAATGTTGTAATATGGTACATGTATACATGCATAACACTTATTCCTTGACTCTAACTCCCTAGAGTGTATGGAAAAGGATTCAGGACTGTTGGGGGGAGTTAAGATATAGGATTTGACATGCCAAAATGCTGTATTTTTTAATTTGGAGTTATTTTTAAAATTGGAAGTGCCAAAACAAGGCTTCAGACTGCAAAATGTGCATATTTAGCATACATGACATTGGCAAACTTTGATGAAGTGTAACCAAAAAACTGCAGGATTTTTTTTGGAGAACTTTTTACATAGTGTTTGTAATGTGCTGAACCATACATAAAACCATTAAAAAAGTAGACCCAGTGTTGCTGGAACGAAACTCATTTTACAGCCTGTTTTTGAGTTTCAGCTGACGGCCTATACCGAACTAAATCATCTTTCAACATTTGCTCCCAGCTCAGAGCTCTGACTGCTTCCAGATCCTTAGGCATGTCCGTTGCATTGATAATAATGTCTGTGGTAAAGTTGAGGGCGTAGCAAGGGCATTGATAGTGGGAGGCAGTGTACAAATTTCTTGAAAAGATCACTTGCACATCCTTGTTGAAATGTAGACACTTTTTTCTCCGGACACTTGGCCTCTGTAAAATCAAATAGTGTTGGGGGGGGGGGGGGGGGGCTGGTACCATTTGTCGATAGGGGCGCTATTCAAAACCGACGACGATGACGATTATACCAACACACACTAAACAGACAATTTTATAGTGCTTTATTTCAGGGCGATACATGCGGGGATTGAATTAAAAAAAAAGACACTCACTACATCGGCCGTTGCGGGTGTTTTTATTTAATTTTGTGTCGTGCCCTTTTTAAAGGGTGCAGCTTTGTTTCTAAAATTAAAAGGGCATGAATTTCTTCAGACAAAAAGGGCACTTGTTAACAAAAGAAGTGCACTCTTTACAAATTTTCGGGGGGGGGGGAAGTGCTTGTAAAAAAGGCATTTGAATGGAAAAGGGCAGTCTTTACTAAATATTGGGGGGGGGGCAAACCCCCCCCCCCCCCCCCCCTCCTCCTTACCACCCCAACCCGCTGGCAACACCTATGTCTGTGGTACAGCACCACCAAACGGCGGCAAATGGACCTAAAACCCCATGTTAAGGAACTATGGTCTGCCGTGATGCAAAGATGTACAAAGTTGACGAGTCAGTGGGTGACTTTCCTTATCAAATGATGCGATTTCAAGTGTTTACACGTTTTATTCTTAGCTCTGCATCCATTCAATGCGAATTCATTCACCTTTGAGCCTTTAGTCAACTGGTACAGTGTATATGCCTAGTACATAGCTTGGTATAATACAACATGCAACACGGCAATGGTAGATTGAATATTTAGTTGGTGATATTTTACTATCGGCAACATGAACAACTATGGATGAAATATGAAAAGAAATGCTGGAATAATTATTTGGGAGTAGGCCTACTTCCTAAAACTGGCACTATATTTCAATATTTGAAACACTTCTCATCCAACTTTTGACTTAGCATGAAACACTACTGTAGAAGCGAGTCTTAGACAACAAATCAAATTGTTACAAATAGGCTTTGTTGCAAGAGAAAAGCAGGCCTACCGAACTAAATCATCCTTCAACATTTTCTCCCAGCCCAGAGCTCTGACTGCTTCCAGATCCTCAGGCGTGTCTTTTGCGTTTATAATAATGTCTGTGGTATAGTCGAGGGCGTAGCAAGGTCATTTATATTGGGAGGCCATTACCATTTCTCGATAGGGGCGCTGTTCAAAACCGACGATTATGACAGTTAAACCAACACACACTAAATGGACAATTTTATGGTGCTTTATTTCAGGGCGATACATGCGCAAATTAAATTTTAACAAACAAAACACCCGCTACATCAGCCGTTGCGGGTGTTTTTATTTAATTTTGTGTCATGCCCTTTTTAAAAACATTTGCAAACATCGAAAAATAAAGTTTTTACAAAATACCTTACTAGGATGTTAGTAAATGGCAGTCTAAAGCATCCTGTAAAATAATGGCACATGGTGTGATGTCATTTTCAAGAAAATTGTATTTTTGTATACATTTCCAACGATGGTCAGCCGACCACCGTTGGAAAAACCTAACTATTTTTCAACCACTGCTCCAAATTTACCATTTTTTTTCAGTCCAAATTTTGTTTGCTATTAATACATGTTCATGAACAGGTGCAGGCCAGCTATACACTGGTTCCCTTACCTTACACTCACAGACAGACTGAGCCTAGCTAGTCCGAGTAACTTGAACCCATCTTATCACATTTTTAACATTCGGACATGGTCTGCAATATTAGTAGGGTCCAAGCTAGCTTTACTGAGTCGAACGTTGAACTACGGTAACCCTCCGTGCTCCATACTTAACGCTCCACCGATTTGGCATACTTTAGGGACATGTACATGGTTAGACCCGTGAACGTGGCAGCCACACTTCAGTCTATAGTAAAAACACTATTATGATCCGCGGTTACTAAGATTCAGTGACCGTACTAGCCGAATTTCGGCTACATTTGACAGAGTATTTGCAAACAAAAATGAGCTGTACAGAAAATCAGCAGATTTTTTTTTTCGGCAGAATTATGAAGATGAAGGAAAATAAAAAAGATTAGAGAAATATGGCACATTTGGTTTAAAAAACCTTCATGTTTTTGAAAGATCCCTGAAACAAACCCTTGCACAATGGAACAGCAATACTGGTTGATTTGGCAGACTTTCAAAGTGGATTTATATGGTATTACGGTCATCCTGCCATGTAAGACGGTTAGTCGGGTACCCACTGGTGATACTCCTACCGTTTTGCGCATGCGGAACTTGGATAACCTTAGTGTCATGCCTGTCTTTGATTTTCTGATCATTTTGAAAACATTCGTTGTGACAAAGTTGCGCCGTACTTTATATCAAATTTCTTGGCAATGACAGATCCAACACTCGCGGAAATTCACAGGAAACAAGTAAGTGATTCACCTATGGGCAAAATTATACATGGTTATATGTAGCAGATCAAAAGATAGAATGCTTTCACTTGTATTTACCCGAGGGAAGTGCATGGCATTGTATACAACGCCACGTTCACGGGTCTGGTACATGGTATGCATTTTGTGCATACCTTCACGAGGACAAAAGACCCCCAAAGAAAACTTGTAAAGAGAATACAAATGAGAAAGACAGTAACCCTGGATAGATCCACACATTCAGTACATTCCATAAAACCCCTTAAATTGTTCCAAACAACCAGTAATTTTGAAAAAGGACAAAATATTCTGAACTTACCGCTCACAATTAAATGTGTCCGCTCAGTTGCGCTGTCCATTTCACTGACATGACTGATATATCGATCATCGAGTGCATGTGTGACGTCACTTTTGAAGAAAAACAAGTCAACGACTGTTTCACATAGTCATAGGCCAAAAGTGTCAGACGGCACGTCTGACACTTTTGGCGCGGGGCACATATCAGTACATAGTCCCATAAATGTGACTGAAATACTGGAGTACCTCCGTATATCAGTCACAGAGCCACGTACGGCCTGTGCGCGGAGCGTCCCATTGCTAGGGGAGCCGAAAATTAATTAAAGATCGAAATTATTTGTCAGCAGAAAATAAACCCAGCTATAGTATGACTGCTAAAAAGCACAAAATTGTTAAATTCTGTATGCGGTCGCACTTTTGACCAAGACAGGCAACAGCCGTACAAATGTACATTGTCAAAATTTGATGCAAGCTAGTGAGGGCGCAATTGATCACAACCCTTGACGTCATGCAACACGATGCTTTCGTGAACAATGGCTGAACAAGTCGTCCGAATTCAACTCAAAATTACAAGATAACTAGTCCTCTGAAGGTGCCGAATTTAACGTTTTGTTGATATTAAGCAGTTGTAGACGGCATTGTGTGAGGGGTGTTACTATAGTATTTTTAGTCGAGTCCTGGGCCAAAAATCCGAGATCGAGTTTTTCAGAGTCCGAGTACGGGCCGAGTACGAGTGCAAAGATATCGAGTACATCCCGAGTACATTTTTAAACTAAAGCATTATGGAAATTAGCACCGTTACTTACATGTAATATGTAAAGTAATTACCCAGTATTCCAAGAAATGTTTGCGTCGAAGGTGCTTATTGAGGTTGGAAGTTGTTCCAGACTTCTCCAAATCCGCAGCCCACATGACTTGCATACTGCGTTGTGCTGCTTCTGTTCATTAGCGAAATATTCCTTGTGATCTCTAAACCCCCAAGATATAATTTCTGACGAAGAAGACATGTCTACGTCTGGATCGAACTCGCCGCCATGCACCAGAGAATGTGACGCATTTCCAACAAAGAGTGATGTTCACAACCTCTTCCCCAGGGATACGATCTTTCCGCGCCTTGTTAGTTAGAAAATGCCTTGTGTGACGAATGCACATGCAGCCCATGGAAAGAAGGTTGTGATTTATTTCACTGGTATTCTTGTAGTATTTAGTAGGAATAGGACAGTAAAAAATGTGCACCGGCGATACTGCGAGCGCTGCCAATACCCATTCACGAATACTCGATTTCGAGTCGATAAAGAATACAGCGCAATACTTTCATCATTTTCATAATTATACACTCTGTGAAATTTTTGGTCAAAGTTTAGTATCCAAAAATTAGTATCGAAAAAATCTGAATTTTCTTTCGAGTACTGCGCGACTGGGATCGAGTCCACCGAGTACAATTTGTCGAGTTAAGGGATGAGTCCGAGTACAAAATTACGAGTACGTGCTGAGTACTTGTTTTTTTCGAGTACTTATGATCGAGTACGGGCCAAGTACTTATTGGTACTCGAGCTGTACTCGAGTTCGAGTTCGAGTTCGAGTACGAGTACTCCAACACAAGGGATGAACAATGTCTTTCCTATAGCTGAATTGAATTGTCTGTGACTTAACTTGAGACAGGATGACTAGTCATTGATTCAATACAACTCTCTGTGACTGAGTCCGATGCAATTCTGTTTTATAGTATGGTTCTTTGTCGTATACTTGACTGTCTTTCTTATTGAAGAAAGCAACTTACCAGTCGTTTATAAAGGGCTGCTTTGGCTCTGAATGCAGAAGACCACGAATTGATGTACACTGGTCGGTATGTCTCAGTCAACAATGTGATCACGACAGTAAGAGCAAACCTACGTCAGTCTGAAAAAGAAAGTACAACAGGGTTAGATAAAGGAGAGTCAGGCTGTGTTGTAGTCGAGGAACTTGCGACAGGTCACAAGTATCTTCACATCAGAAAATGAACAATAACAAAGGAATGTCTTTGTCACCGTTCATTTGAATAGCTTGTGACTTGACTGGAT